GATGAATTCGTATGGGAAGTGCAGGAAAAGATGTTGTTGTTATCTGGTCAGAAACCTGCGACAAGAAGAACTATATTATCTATCGTGAGTTCACTGTTTGATCCTTTGGGGTTCTTAGCACCCTATATTATGAAGGCAAAGTTGATATTGCAGGAATTATGTCGAAATGGAGCTGGTTGGGACGCTGTTATTGAAGAGAATGAGAAGAACCAGTGGAGTCGCTGGCTTGAAGATCTAAACAAGTTACAGAAGATTAGCGTGAAGCGATGTTTTAAACCTCGGGACTTTGGCTCGATAAAGGAAGTTGAGTTGCACATATTCTCAGACGGATCACGCGTTGGGTACGGCGCGGTAGCCTACTTGCGTTTGGTTGATCAGGACGATACTATTCATTGTTGTTTCGTCTTGGGCAAGGCTCGTGTAGCGCCGATACGAGAGATAACTATACCTCGTCTGGAATTGTCAGCGGCAGTCATTTCCGTGAAGTTGAATAAGATCATTCAAGAGGAGTTAGACATCGAAGTGAACAGTGTGACATATTGGACTGATTCGCAGTCCGTCCTAAAATGCGTCTGTAATGAATCAAAGAGGTTTCATACCTTCGAGTCAAATCGGTTGACAATCATACATAATGGGTCGTCTGTCGACGAATGGCAATATGTTAGCAGTGAAGATAACCCAGCAGATGATGCATCGAAAGGACTCAAATTGGAAGAGATAGCAAACGGTGGTCGATGGTTGAATGGGCCCGACTTTTTGTGGAAAGATAAGTCATGTTGGCCAGCGAAAGTTTCTCATACGGTCATAGAGGACGATGACCCTGCATTGCGAAAGGCGAATTTGGTTTACACAACGAGTGCAAGTGAAAGCCCGTTGGAATCGTTGATTAAGCGTTATTCAAGCTGGTGGAAGCTGAAGAGAGTGGTGGCTTGGCTTTTGCGTTACCGAAGGAATTTGATGAAAAGAGTTAAAGAGAAGATTGTTGAGAATGTGAACGATAACTTGCGTGGCGAAGAAAGAGTACCAAACCTCACAGTCGAAGAGCTTCGAAATGCAGAGCTAAACATTGTACGATATGTGCAGTCGACATCATTCCCTGCGGTGATAAAGATACTCGGATCTCAACCAGCCAAAATTGGAACAAATCAGAAGAAAACGCTCAAAGATAGCTCACTACAGAAATTAAATCCCGAGTTAAAAGATGGCACGCTGGTGGTTGGTGGGCGACTGAAGCACGCAGGAGTGAATGACGAAGCGAAGCATCCAATAATTTTGCCGTATACGCATCGAGTGACTGACTTGGTTATCGAGCAGGTTCATATTGAAGTCGGACATATGGGTCAAGAATCGGTACTTTCGGCTTTGAGAGAGCATTATTGGATTGTGAAAGGAAGATCGGCAGTGCGACAAGTTATCTCTCGCTGTTTGGAATGCCAGAAAGCAAAGAATAAGCCTGGAAAGCAACTAATGGCAGATCTCCCTGAAGAGAGAGTGACCCCATACAAACCACCATTTACCGCAACAGGAGTGGACTATTTTGGACCTTTGGAGGTGAAGCAACGAAGAAGCAAAGTAAAACGGTATGGTTGCATATTTACTTGCTTGTCGGTGAGGGCTGTCCACATCGAGATAGCCCATTCGTTAGACACTGATTCAATGATCAATGCCTTGAGAAGGTTTATCTGCCTACGTGGGTGCCCAGAGATAATTCGAAGTGACCGTGGAACAAATTTTAAAGGTGCCGACAAGGAGTTGACAGCTGCAATACAGAAATGGAACCAAGAGAAAATCGAGAACTTTTGTAACCAAAAGGGTATTCAGTGGTTATTCAATCCACCAGACGCAAGTCACTTTGGTGGAGTTTGGGAACGATGATTAGATCAACACGCCAAGTCTTGCGAGCTTTAATGAAAGAACAAGTGGTATGTGATGAAGTTTTGGCGACAGTTATGTCAGAAGCGACGAATATTCTGAACAGCCGTCCACTGACGCGCAACAGTGATGATCCAAGCGACGAACAACCCATAACACCCAATCATCTACTAAAATTGAGACCATGTCCCACTCTACCACCTGGAATTTTTGATGATTCAGATCTACACACTCAGCGCCGTTGGAGACAAGCCCAATATATGGTGAATGTGTTCTGGAAGAGGTGGTTGAAGGAATATCTTCCTTCTCTACAAGAGCGCCAGAAGTGGAATAACAAGCAACCAAACTGGAAAGTTGATGATCTAGTGCTGATTATGGATGGAAATTATCCTAGAGGACAATGGCCTGTTGGCAGAGTGGTGGAAATCTTCGCGAGTGATGACGGATTGGTACGGACAGTTAATGTAAAAACAAGTTCGACTGTTGTTACACGGGCGAAGCGGCAACGTCGTGGTGAATTGAAAACAACGAGCACAATCCTTACTCGTCCAATACACAAGTTATGTCGGTTGGAACTGGAATAACATTGTTGAAGAGACTTTGATGTTGATATATTAAGAACTACTGACAAGTTGTTGTTTATCACTTTGTAGGATTGGTAGCACTAATTAGATTAAATGGACAAACTCGTCCATTTAGGGGCCGGTGTAGCTACCAATCAGTGTATATATAGAGTTCAGTGGGAAAGCCGCCCCATAAAACATTTCGGGTTTGGACGGCCATATTGAATTTTGAACACGAGAAGTAAACATTTTGAGTATTTATAGAACATATATTGAGGATTTTGTTAGTAGAAACTTGCTTTATTGAACGACCGATACAGTCGGTAAGTTTTTGAACACTTATTGTTGACAATTTTAATGTATTTGTATATTAATTTTAGTTTAACTTGCAGAAAACCTGCTGTTTATATTGGTGGAAATAGTAATATACGATATAAAGTGGAAAATAATAGTGGAAAATTGGCGTATATTTGTTGAGTTTTGACTATCGATCGTACGGGCATAACAGCCTATAATTATATATCCAGGGACGTAGTTATAGGTTGGTCAGGAAGCGTACATGATGCGCGGGTTTTCTCCAACTCAGCCATTTTTGCAAAAGGAAGGGATAACTGTCTTTTCCCAGATGACCTCAATAGGGAAATATGTGGGGTGGAGATGCCACCGGTAATTCTTGCGGACCCAGCCTATCCGCTGTTATCATGGTGTTAAAGGGCTACCCTAGGAACGAGGTACCAAGAAGTCAACGTGTTATTAACTATCGTCTTAGTCGTGCACGAATGACGGTAGGAAACACCTTTGGTAGGTGAAAAGGAAGATACATCAGATTCAAAAAGCGGGTGGACATGGATGTAAGTACTCTGGCACATATTGTACATTCCTCCTGCGTGTTACATAACTTATGCGAAGCTCTTAAAAATGAATTTCTTCCTGATTGGGCTGACGCTGAAGTACTTATTGAGGAACCAATACTTCCAATTGATGAAACGCCAGCACCAGACGCAGAGCTAATCCGTGATGCCTTAGCTGAATATTTCACCAGTTAGACAGAAGTACAGTTTTAGGGACGGAAGTAGTGTATGCAGTATATTTCAAAGCTGAGTTTGATGACCATACAATATAACATTATTCCCAATGATTATACACTCAAACCTCTGGGTGTAATATAATTTAGTTACCCTCACTTGTGGTCCATGAATATGGGACATATAGAGGTGCCTTGAATTGGATAAATTCAGGGCTGACTTTTATCTAATTATCAGCACTCTAAAACGATATATAGAGCACAATTAATGCGTAATTAGTTTTAGGGCCGCGTGCTATATTTTAAGCGGGCCGAGAGGTCTCGGCCCGTCAAACAATAGACAGTTTTAGATAACAAGACGCGGACGTCAAGAGGACGTGGATGTCGTCATTTGGCGCCAACTATCGTCAGCTTCTGGTTTGCGACGTCGTCTTGGACGATTTCACGACGCGAAAATACAATTTTCACGTCCTCTCCAGAACGTCACAGATTTTTGCTTCTTTTGAAAAAAATATGAGACTATGCATAATAAAAATCATCCTATTTTGTTCCCCATGTATCGTTTAATGACATTAGCTAAAGTTTTTCCATTGACGAGGTTGTTTTTCTTGTATTTCGCTAAATTTTAGACGAGTTGATTTTCGACAAATACGTTCGGTCGCCATAAACAAATCAACAAAACTGCAAGCATAGTTTGAAGCATTGTTAATAACCACTTCAATACCGCTAGTAATCTTCACCAAAACAAATATTTAGAACAAACTAAACTGAAGTTATATTAACAACTGTTTAAAATCAGGAAAACGTGGGAAAATAGAAAAATAAAAGCACTTAAAAGCAGTAAAAACTCAATCAATTTTAGTTGCTCTGTCAAAAAGTAGGACAAGCAAAAAAAAACGCTTTCCAGCGTGAAAAACCATCGTAAACAGTATTAAATTTTACCAATATAAACACTGATGTTATATTTATACTGAACAGTTGACAAACTTGATTGAATAGGCTACAATAAAGCATATAGCTCGTTAAAAATACCTGCAGCTATTGTATTTATTCCAAATGATGCAAAAAAGTTCACTTTACAAAATACAGAAATATAACTTTTTTTCTAAAAAAACTTATTGAATGTTCATACTAATTCATCAGGAAACACTTGGCCAGTATTATATAGCCTTTTCTTGCACATATCTTGACAACTGATTGAAAACAATACAGGAATGAACAGGTAACAAGAAAACAAAAATTTGCTTCGTAAAAGACAAACAAGCCGTCCCAGATTAAAACCCGGAAGTGAACGCGAGGTGCATACGTCATTTTCACGTCCTCTTGACGTCCGCGTCTTGTTATCTAAAACTGTCTAATTATGGCACGCGGACCCTTAATTTTGCGTTTACACTGCGAAAATTAAGAGTGCCGTGCCTAAAAATTTGGTCCGCGTGCCATTATTTAAGAGTGCCGTGCCAAAAGTGAGTGTAATGTAAACGGGTGGGCACGGCACGCTTGAATTTTGGCAAGCGGACCCATTTTTTTGGGCACGGCACTCTTACAGACTACACTGTCTGTTCAAAACAATAGCTCGACAAATTCTAACAGATTTTACAATTGTTTCATATTGTAAATTTGTAGACTGGTATATGTATAACAAATAACTGTGAACAAATTCTATCGCAGATAATCGGTTTAAGATATGAATACATACAAATGAAGATATGAAATATTGAAATGTTCAAGATTAAATGTTTTGAAACTTTTGACGACCCAAACCTCAAGGTCAAAGGTCAAGCCCCACAATTTTCGTGGGTAAAGCTGTGATTGGCTAATTTTGAGGAAAGGGATTCTTGGCCAAAGTAAGCATACCTTATGTGAGGGCTCAGCCCGCTAAGTAGGGATGCGTAGGAGACTATGGTGATTGAGGCAAAAATTGTTTTTGCGGACAAAATATTGAAATAGATATTATCGGCATGATACTGCATGACTATCACTATGTAATGCTATGGCAGATATTTTATGATTCTAGTTCATCCCCAAGAGAATACAATAAAGAAGCTACACTGAAAGTTTGAAGTCACTAGCTTAAATACTTTTTGAGATATTGCGCATGCAATAACGGCCATAGGTGGTTTTCGGAAATTTGAAAAAAAGCCGCTTTTTAAAGTTGAACACATTGATTTTCAGAACAATATTCACCTACAATTGATGAAAAAACGTTATGAATGGATCAGTTTGGTGCTAAAAGAGAGCCCATACTATCCTTGACTATCTTGTGACCGCGACATACATGTTTCTTTGGTGATGGAAAGGGAGCGGTGGCTTAATAGGAAGGCTAGCTAGGGAGTTAATTGGAGAGGTGGTTTGATAAAGGGTTCACGACATATAAATTTATAAATGCATTCCTTAAAGCAACATGTTAGATAGAAAACGGCGAGAACATTAATATAAGAATAAAGCAGCTTTACATTATTATATATAAAATTACTTTTGTACGTCATCAAGTTAAACAATGCTCATCTCAAGCATAAGCACTGGTTGGTTTACATATTTCCTCCTCGTCCAAAGCTTCTTCAAATGTCCATAAATCACGATGACGTCGTAATACAGTAATTGCCGCTGTATCTACAGCTGTGGGCTCAACTCCAAGATCTTCAAGTCTTGGCAAACCTTGAGTAAGTTCATCCGTATTGAATTGCTGTATGAAGAACAATGATATATTAAGCAATATATGTCTACTTTTTGAATAATACAAAATATAAATTATTCGTCATATAATAGGAAAGAAAATGGATTCTGCCCCATACCAAATTATCCTAAGAGTCCTTCATAACAGATTATACAAAAATCATTATTATATAACTAGTGCTTGAACTAAACGTGATTGGCTGATCCCGCCGGGCAACAAGTGAAAAATTGTTGCACGCCCTGACCGGCTAGGTACATAATTGCTCAATATGGAGTAAAAATTCAGAAAGAAAGTTTTTCCATTTTACAAAAATAATATAGTACTTAACAGGGGAGTACAATACTCAACAGGTAGCAGGAAATGCTATTAAACACTTTTACCAGGTTCTTTTACTGTTAAAATAATTTACATTCAAGAATTTAATTCATGAAGTATAACTGGGTTTTTTTTCTACGTCTCTATATAACAAAACATTGAATGTCTGTTCCCTCGGGAAATAGTTTGCTTTGTTTTCCCTCGAATCTTAGTGTTGAAACTCCTGGGAAAACAAACAAAATATTTCCTTTGGGAGCAGACATTAAGTGCACATTATATCTCTTGTACGTATCATCCTATACCAAAAAAACGCTCAACTTGATATTCTAAACGAAACGGGAGTGCATTATTCCACACTCTATGACGTGATTCGTTTTAAGTTGTCTTCCGCGGATATCATTCATGACTCATGAGCTCATTTCCAGGTCAACTGGAAGCGGTCTTTATAATTATATAGCATTTGTAAATTCTGAACACTCATTGGCTAAGAGCTGTGTTGACATAACTCAATAGCAAAACAGAAAATTTCTTTCTTTATATTTCTTTCTTCATATTTCTTTGTTCTATCTCTTTCTCATTCTTTGAAAAACATGTCAATGTTTATGGATTTTAACATTTAAAAACGCATGATTTTAAATTTCGGTAAACAATTTTTGAAAAAGATAAAACAATAACGTCAGATATTAATAATATATAAAAAGTCGACAACAGACCAGTTTTTAGTGCAAGTTCACTTTAGTTTATTTAAGCGACTGACTCATAAAAAGCGTTCTTATAGATGCATGTAAACAACGGTTCAGCACAAAGTAGAGTAGAGTAGCAAGATATGATACTATGTGACAAAAGTCACACATAAAATTCAGATTTCTCTTCGCTAGCGATCCATCTCAAGGCCTAATTCCACGACGAGCGAAATGCGAAAAATTTCGCGCGAAAACACAGTGATTTCCACAGTCGAGAAAAGACGCACGATTTGTGAATGACATCAAAACAAATACAAGCATTTGATTGGCTTCACACAAGACTTGTACACGCATTTGATTGGCTCCACTATTTCCATTTCGCAATGGAGTAGAATGGGGCCATTCACAAAGAATGTCCGAGTCGAGGAGGGGAGGGGGGTTTGGAAAATCAGGACAAACTCGGACATGGGGGGGGGGGCTTTTGGCAATCCGGATGTCCGAAATTTAAAAAAATTCAAAAACAAATTTCTTTTTCCTCTATTTCTAACTCTTCTTCCCATTGTGAAATTGGCATTTTGAACACTTCATATTAATATTATCTAATTCTTTCATTCAATGATGAATTCAACAGTGGCGTCAAATAAAAGCTTTCTGCATGTATAACTCTCCTTTCCGTTGTTGCAGTATTACAGCTGCTTGTTTCCTATTGAATGTGATTGTTTTTAATAGCTAATTTAATATAAATATATATGTGATTGTTGTAGTTCTCGGATATAAAAACAAAATATAAATGTAATCTTACCTGTGATTCTGAACTCTCGATATATTAAACATTTTATAAAAACATTTTATAAAGAGATATTTTGTTTGATACAAGTCTGTTTTACAAATATACTTCATGTAGAAATAATATAAAAATCCAGCGAAACATTGCAGTTCGGTGAATTCGGTGAACATCGCAGTTCGGTGAATATAAATGGCCATTTGCATTATAGACCAAATTTTGATGTAGACAAAAATTTCATCACAGCTTGAAAGAGCATCAGAAAATTAGTAATATTCCAAAGTTTCGTTGCGAAATGTTGTAAAATGCGCATAATATAGCCTCGCGAAATTTGCTTTTTTCAGTCATTTTGTATTACAAACGGGAACCGTTTTGAATGGCCCAACACCCTATTGGGCTGTCAATTTCCCATGCGTAATACAAAATGACTGAAAAACGATAAACTTCGCATGGCTATATTGTCCGCATTTTACAACATTTCACAACGAAACTTTGGAATATTACTAATGTTGTGATGCTCTTTCAAGCTATGATGAAATTTTTGTCTAGATCAAAATTTAGTCTATAATGCAAATGGTCCATTAAAGTGCATGAGTTCGCTTTAAAACAGGGTATTGATCCCCAGATATATGATCCCTCATAGCGGAGGCCTGGTTGCTAAGTTCGAGCGTGATTTTTTTTACATGTAAATTATTTAGAACATATCAGTGCCCAAATTATGCTTGTGTAAATTCATGTCTCTGTTTTTACTATGGATGACAAATCGAAACTATACCACCAGCTATACAAGCCTGTTAAAGATTGTTACTCTGATAAAAATTCACAAGCTTGGCTCAAAAAGACTATGGATCTCTGGACTGAAGCAAAAACTGAAACTAATGATATAGTTGAACTGAAAACAAGAGTTAGTGTAATGATCAAGAATCTTAAGTCTGAATTAAGCTGCAGGAAAAAGGCTGTTTTTTTAAAGTTTTTTGGAAAGTCAGCAGAAAAACGAATATCAGTTTCTGATAAAGATAACTAGGGATCCAAGGATAGTGTGAATTTTCAAATCGAAGAAGACACTGCAAGAACTATATAGGGTCGACGACACTTACACTACGAAATACACAGTTACCAAAGGCAGTTCATCTGATTATCTACTGTTTTTAATACGTCCGGCACACGAGTAGCGCGACGTTTGAAACAAGTCTGACACATCAGAAACGTCGTGCCTCGTGGAACTGATACAATTTATTTATTTATTGTTATGATACACGCGACAACTCGAAATTTAAATTGTTTCACCAACAACCAAATTTTGCATACTCTAAAACTTCATTTGTATTTGCAAAAGCATCCCCACGAGGCTACTGGCATGCTAAACTTATTTAAAACTATGATTATTCTCATCATTCTTTTAGCACCCATATTGTACATTTGGCTATTATCTCAGTGACAACTTTAATTGAAGTAGCTGTATTAGATATGTTATGAATAATAAGCACTACGACGTTGCATCATTAAACGGACGCATTTTATCCCCATCCGTTCCGTACTTTATCCGCATATCCGTTCCGTAGATCCGCTCCATCCGCTTCCGCATTTTAACCTAATTGTGACATGTTTCACAACAACAAGTCTCATTGACCTTTGACTTTATATTCCCAGTGTCACGTTGTGTCATTTTCGGCTTTTCGCAATATATTCAATAATGTCACTTTAGATTTCAATAGTTTCACTGACAGTTATAGCAGTGTTTAATTGAAACAGTTTTGATACACGCGTTTGATACAGCTCTGTGTACAAATTTATTCTCGTAAGATCTGGTAGAGTTATCGTTGCACTGAATTGAACACGAGTTTGCACCGTTATGCTAGACAGTAAACAAGCCAACAAGGTCAGCGACGGTACGCGTTGGCAACCTCCTTGCTTTTTTCTTCTATTGCATAAAGCTTGTTGACGAGCCAAGCGATTGGCGATAACACGTTGGCTATATCCTCGTCTTTCTTGTTTAAATAAAGAGCTCTGACTCAACTGATTCTTTAGTCTCGCAAGTTATTTTCTTCGTACAAACACCCGTACAAACACCCGCTTCTGTTTAATAGTTGTTTACGCTTTATTGATCTGATGCAATTTTTCGCCCTTTGTTTTGAGTGTAGCCATCTATTCTGTGTAGCACCTTGTACAGTCAATGTATAATGAATACTCGAGTACGGTCTAAATAATATCGATAGGCACTTAATTGAATGCTGGTAATGCATAACATCAATTATATATTGCGTAGAATCGGCAAAGGTTTTCTCAATATTCATGTCTGAAAATAAATGTTTATATATTTGAAAACAACACTGTCTCGCTCCTTCCTACGTGCTACCCCTGTATAATAAGTATACCGTGAAAATAATATCGGCACTCAATTGAATGCCTAGAGGTTAGAATCTCAAAGATTTTCGACTCAATAATATTTTATACGTCTGAAGTGTTTATACACTTGAAAAAAAGTCCTGTCTAGCTCCTTTCTGGCTCTGTATAATGAATATACCGTCTAAATAATATCGGCACCTAGTTAATTGAATGTCCGTAATGCATAACATCAATTTATATATTGCGTAGATTCTCAAAGATTTACTCAATATTCACGTCAGAAATGTTTATACATTTGAAAACAACACTGTCGCTCCTTCCTAGCATATCGTCACGCCATCGTGATCTACGGCTTGATAGCGCATGGTAAATATCCTTTACACAACATGAGAAGCGAATGTTATAAAATTTACAAAAAATTACAATAACGAAAACCATTCCTCGAAATTTTTGTGAACTTGGCAAAACGACAAAAGAATATTTAAATAAGACAACTGAAATTGCCTAAATAACCTTCAAAGCACTAAGTACGATAAATCACTACGAACATAAATCGTATACACCCCCCGGAAAGTTTACTGTATGACTGACTGACTGACTGAATGAATGAATGAATGAATGAATGAATGAATGAACGAATGAATGAACGATCAGATGAATATTCCTTTATGTAACCTGAAAAGTCCTTTAGGTAACCTGATAGGTTACATAAAGGATGTGATGGCCTTTATGTAACCTAGAGGTGTCCTTTATGTAACCTGTCCTGTCCTTTATGTAACCTGCTTGTCCTTTATGTAACCTGGCGTGTCCTTTATGTAACCTGACGTGTCCTTTATGTAACCTGGCTGTCCTTTATGTAACCTGGCTGTCCTTTATGTAACCTAGTCTGTCCTTTATGTAACCTAGTTTGTCCTTTATGTAACTTGGGACTATACTTTGTGTAACATGAAGTGCTTTTACTGCTTTATAACTTGGCTTATTGGTACACGCGTAAAAATTGATCAGGTTGTTCGGCGTTGTTCAAAACAGTAGCGAACAATGTTGTGCTGCACCCCGTGAACAATATTGTTAACAAGTTGTTGAACCATCAATGTTGTTGCAACTTGTTAACATGATTGTCAACAAGTTGCAACAACATTGATGGTTCAACAACTTGTTAACAATATTGTTCACGGGGTGCAGCACAACATTGTTCGCTACTGTTTTGAACAACTTGCATCAACATGATGATTTTTACGCGTGTATAAAGAGTATAGCTAAAATTTTGACAGAAGCATTCAGAAGCATTGCAAAAGAGGATCAGCTATTTGACGATTACTTGTTATAATAGAAGCACTATATTAATCTTTAATCTGTGGTATTATAAAACATGCGTTATACAGTATTTGTTGTCTTTACGAAGTGACTCTAGTTTACCATGTTGAAACCAAGAAATGAGCCAAAAATTCCATTAAAATAGCAGGTGAGAGTAACAATTTATACTTTGCTATTGCACTGGGTTGTACTGATATGGCATCTGAACTATACATTTTATATGTGAATACATTTTATACAGATTGCT